TGTCCACTCTGGGGCTGTTTTACGTTTGCTCTGTGTTGTTGTACACTGTATGGATATAACTTATGGTTTGACGGTTTCGGAGCTCACTGCTAAGGGTTTGCTTTGAGTCTCAGAGGGGACTTTGGAGTTGGGACCTTTGAGCAGCATTGGAACTGTTAAGACTTTGGGGACTATTGGAATGAACGTTGCATTGTCAGATGGCCACAAGCCAGCCACGGCAAGGGCATGGTTTGGATGTAAAATGTTCCCCCATAGACTCATGTTTAAATCCATGGTACCCAGTTGATGGAACTGTTGAGGGAGGTTACGGTCCCTTAGGAACAGGAAACCTAGTTCACAGATGCAGTACAGCCGCATTTCTAGTTTTGTTTCCTGATTTCTTGACCCACCAAGATGTGGGGAGTCTCTAGCACATGCTCCAGGAACTCTACTGTGTCTTTCCTGCTGTAATGTATAGAAACCATGAGCTAAAAATAAGTCCTTCCTTCCTTACATAGCTTCAGGTGGGAATTTTGTCAAAATGATGAGAAAACTAATGTAGACACTAATATACATAAGAATTATTTTATAATTCAATAAAAATTAAAATTTTACACAAAAATGAGCAGAAAAACACGAACACGAGCAAATATAGAGATAGTGATTAAACACGTGGATATATGCCCCACGTCGCTTAAAAACTACACTGAACTCTCATTTGCTTAACCACTGCGTTGGCAGAAATGTGAACACGTGGTGGTGTGGCGTGAGTGTGAAATGGTCCTTCTCACACACTTAAGTAGGTGCCAGACTCTCCCTGTGAAAAGAGTTAAGCAATAGACTCCTTGTTTGCTTTCTAAGACTGATGTAACCAATTACCGTAGACCGAGTAGCTTCAAACGACAGAAATGAAGTCATGCCGTTTCAGAGGGCTAAGTCCAGGATCACCATTTGTCCTTGCCGTGTCTCCCTCCCAGCTTGGTGAGCGTAGACTACCCTCTGCACTCCTTGACCGTGGTCAGAACTCCAATGTCAGCATCCGTCTTCAAGTGGTCTTTGCCCCTAATCTTTCTCCGCCTCGAGTCTCCCTCTGCCTTTCTCCTATGACAACACTTGCCATTCAAGCCAGGGCCTTCATCAATCGAGTAGTCTCTTCCTCCCACCCTCAAGCACACCTACAAAGACTACTTAATCAGATTCCATCACACTTACATGCTCTGAGACTTAGCTCTATCCCTATCGCAGGTCTCCTTATCATCTCATTTAATGCAAAGTTATTTTTTTAATCCTTATTTATGTGTGTGAGTGTTGACTGTACGTGTGTGCACCACATTCGTGCCTGCAGCCCGTGGAGTTCAGAAAAGTGTGTTAGATTTCCTAGATGCTGGGAGCTAACGCTAGGTCCCCTGCAAGAGCAGCCAGTGCTCTCCAGCATGCATGAGTGTGTGAGTGTGAGTGTGTGTGTGTGTGTGTGTGTGTGTTCATGCATACACCAACCCCAAGGCATGTACTGTCTTTCTCTTATGCTTCTCTCCCTTAAATCTATATCAAAACATCTACTTAGGCAACCCCAACTTTATGCTAAAACAAACAAACAAAAACCCATATGCTTTTAAGCATTTGCTCTTGATCCAGGAGCCCTGCTTTGAGGAATTTAAATTAATGACATACATCTGGCAATTTAAAAACAAATAATCTTCCTAAAGTATTTTGTAATTACAAAACATTAGAAATCACTTAAAAGCCCAAACATAGGAAATTGGTTGAGTAAAAACTAGAGTCCTGTGACATCACATAAAGAAGTGGAAATCCCTGCAGGCATCATGATTTCATAAGGAAGATATAAGGAAGTACACACACCCATTTGTTCTTATTTAAAAAAAGAAGAAATAGAAGAAAAAGGAACTAGAGAGAAAGTGGTTAAATGATGGACAAGACTTGAGGAGGGGGTAGATGAAAATAGAAGGGGGGATGGGTCTCTTCTTGTGCCTTTTTATATGGCTTGGACTTTGGGGATGATAGTGACATCTTACATGTTCAACAATACAATTAAGATGATAGAAGTCCCAAAGCCAAATAAAAAAAAAAAATAAGCAAACGAAAGACAAGCACATCTCAAATAGCCATACAGAAGGAGAGAGAAAGAAGTTAGCCAAGAATCTTCTGAACATGCTGTTTGGACCATATGCTCCTGCTTTAAAAAAAGAAAACCCTGCCAATAAATCACCCAAGTTTTCTTTGCAGATTTGCCTTTTGTACTGGGGCAAGCATATGACATTATATTATTTATTTGTCTTGTGGGAAAGAAGGGAAATGCAAATGTGAACCAGGAAAGCATGGAAGAGCTCTAGGAATACAGTTCAGTAAGAGAGTGCTTGCCTAGGATGTGTGGAGACCTACATTCAATCCCCAGAAGAGAGAAACAGAGAGATGTAGGAGATAGGGACAGAGAAAGACAGAGGAGACAAAGACACTGAGACAGGGACAGAGGAGAGAGGCAAGCAAAGAGACAAAGGGAGACAGAGTGACAAGGGAGAAAGGAAGGGAGGGGAGGAAACATAGGGAAAGAGAGAGAAGAAGAGGGTAGAAAGAGGGAAAGGGAGACAAGGAATGACCCAATGGGATTACATATGCATTGGAGATATAAATGCATGGCTTACAAAGACATATACATGTAGACATAATTTTAAAATGCTGTGAGTTGAGCATTGAAGGTACTTGAGAATCCATGTATCTCTTTCAGTCATTCTAATAAATAAATATACTTATTTTATATATATTAAAAATAGGTGGAAAGAGTTATACAGGACAATCACAACATGGAAAGGTTAGAGGGGAATGAAGAAGTGACTGTGTACCCTGCCAAGATGAGGCAACCTACAATCTTTCTGTGAACTCAGCTTGACATGCCTACATCCATCCTGAGCAGCAACCACCACGATTGTCCCAGCATGATTCTGATTGGTTTCCCTATGTAGTTTCCCAGCATCCCAGCCACTCTCGTGGTATGTGGAGAGGTGCAACAGAACCCTGGTACCAGAAATGGCCCTGACTAAGATCTTAGTTTAAAACATCATTCCAGCAGAGTAAAGTCACTCATCCTAGGCAATCAAGGAGGCCCTCATTTAGTCCCAATGATGGGATGAGCTTGGACTTGAGATCACCCAGGGTCATGCTTTTGTCAGTAAGTCTGAAAAACCACACTTTATGTCAATGTGATCTTGGATCTGCCCACCTCTCTACAACTGATCCAGGTTGTTCTATAACAAACTTTCAGATCCCTATCCTTACTGTTCTTTAGTTACTTTCATCTCTCTTCAAGGAAATATAGTTCTGTGGTCAAAACATGGGGTCCTCCCAAAGGCCCCAAATACCTCAGAAAATTAGTGTTTGATTTTTGTGTTTCTCCAAATTTCTGTGATAAATAATTCTTCAAAGGATAGTGTAGGCAAGAGTGAAAATGAGAATAAATGGAAATGTTTTTGTATCCCAAAGCTAAGACTTAGGAGATTGCTATCCCACCAGCCATGGCCAGCACTTGAGTTTGACATGGTAACAAATTATTTGCTTTAGAAAAATGTCTTTAGATGGAGTGTGAAGAAATGGGCTCTTATCTATCCTGTAGGTGAAGCTTGTTTGATCTTTCAAAGTGAGTCAGACAAGAATAGATGGAGACCATTCATCTGACAGGGCTCTTAAGCTGGCACTGAAATGTCCTACTTATGTGGATAGCCACCTCCCAACACCGAGACAAACTAAAGAACGACAAGGCAGCAATGATCTTTATTAAGATACTAATCAATGTCATTGTTGAGATTTGAAGAACTGAAAACGCCTTGGGAGTCCTAGGTTCAGATGAGATGTGTCAGGCTAGCCACTTCTGTGAGGAGAAGGCTGCCAGCTGTCAATCGCAGGCCTGCCCTATAAAAACCATTCCTCAGGCTGCTTTCTGGCAAGGTGGTTCTCAGGATGACAGGCCACCAACTTCCAGCCAGCCAGTCCATTGCTAAATGGAGTGCTTCCTCAATGGTCACCTTCCTGCCCAATAACTGGCCTCCATCATGAAAAAAGAAAATGGCCACATCTATCAAGGCAGATGTTCTAGAATACCATTATATTTAAATGCATGCTGTTTTCTTTTGCCTTCATGTTATAGTTGAAGCGTTATTGTTTATTGTTTTTTGTTTTTGTTTTTGTTTTTTAAGAAATCCTTTTATTTTCTTTTGTTTTCAGATAAAGTCTCATGTAGCCAGGATAGCCTCAAACTTGTTATGTGACCAAGGATGACCTTGAACTTCTGGTCCTCCTGTGCCCTCTTCCCCAGTGCTGGGATTACAGGTGTGCTCCACTGTGCCTTGTTTTATGCAATGGTAGGGACCAAACCCTGGGAACATTCGCCTAACTGAGCTACAACAGGGACCAAACCCTAGAAACACTCACCCAGCTGAGCTACATCCCCAGCCTCTATTACTGTGTTTTGTTTTGTTTTGTTTTTTATTATATTCTGTGGGTGGGCTGTATTAACCTAACAAGGATAGGAAGGGACACATAACAAAACTTGCATATGACAACCTGGTAGGTGTGAAAAGTTGTGTCTTAAAGGGTGTCCCCAGCTCTGACTGAGTGCTGGAGAGGGTCCCTCTCAACACAGAAGGTAGTACATTGACCTTGAGACAGGGTTTGTATTCTAGGAAGTGACCCAGTGGGAAGCTGGCCTCTACCACCTGACTGACAGTTCCCTGGGGACAAGAGAATGGGTCTTAAATTCCACCTGAACCCCTTTATAGTTCCCAGGAGAAGCCATGAAGCCCACCATAACATTCTTTCTAGAGCTTTCATCCTCCTCCTGGGGAGGATGAGCCTCTTGTGAGTTCTGGTCATAGCTTGGGGTCTCAGGACAATCCTAGGGAATACCAGAAGCTTCCCTTTACGTCTTTGATTTTCCAGAAACCCAACCATATCCCAGCAGGATGTTAATCAGTAACAATCCACACTTTGGAATAACAAATATTTGCTGAAGGCTTTGGGCTGCAAAGCTTACACTTGACTCTCTGCTCTGAATGATCTTCTCAGCACCTGAGGTCTGGAACTGGTAAGAGGTGGTGGATGGCATGGATCTCTCCAGGAGCCGGTGGGGAGAAGAGCCGTTCTTGCTCTCCCCGAGTGGGCTTCAGGGGGAGATCTAAAGGGAAGGCATTCTGTCTTTCAGCTTAGACTTCCAAGGACCGTGAATCGAAGTTGGGCTCTGGGTGGCATAACAGCATGTCAGCCATAGACGGGAGGTGGCCATGGGAAGGGCTCTGGCTTGGTATCTGCCAGACAACTCACTGCCCAGGCAAGAGAGCCTGGTCCCACCAGGGCTGAGGAGAGGCGAGGGAGGCATTGCTCTATACACACTGGTCAGTACTGAGTGTCAGGTAGACAGCCTGTTTCCTACCGTTCAAGCTGTGTGTGACTAAGTATGCCCTCAACACACCTGATGGTGCCCTAATCCCAGGAGCGCCCTATATCATGGATGGTTCCTGTGAGGAACAAAGGCCTAAAAGGACAAGTTACAGCATTCAGTAAACAGGTGTAGTAACAGCCAGATGTCAGGAACAGTATGAGACGTAGTCCTTGGAAAGGGTGACGCTGAGCTTGTGTGCTGGGTAATTTTCATGATGGCTGAGGCAATGGGCAATAACCATGAAATCAAGACTAGTCTGAGGACTTAATTTACAAAGTAGAAATAAATACAGTGATGGAATTCTCCTGGGCAGCTCAGGCTGTTGGGACAAAATTCCAAATTCTAGAGGCTTAACCAAAGTGTTTTCACAGTTCTAGAGGCCCAAGGTTAAGGGCAGCATGGCTGGGGTGTGGAGAGGGCTCACTTCCTGGTTTGGAGATGGGGGGGTCTTCTCAGTGTGTACTAAGTGGAGAGAGGAAGGCTCTGGTGTCTCTTCCTTTTCTCATAAGGATACTAAATCCCTTACCTTCTCCCTGGGATTCAAACATCATCGAATCACTTCTCAAAGGCCCCAACTCGCAACACCCTCACCTTGAAGGATAGGACCTCAGTTTTGAGTTGTGAAGGAACAAAGATCATCCACCTCAAAAATGAAGGCATGATACTGGGTGTCATGATATGGTTTGGTACCTCAAAGGGGGTAATGGCCCAGCGCTTACAGCAATGTGGTGACCTGCTGAGAGAGCTTGTCATTATGATCCAGAAGCAGTTCCTAAATGGTGACATTTGGGAAATCATGCAGGTTAGACGGTGGGGACCCTGGATTCTTTGGAGGCCATTTAGCAAAGCAAGGGCAAGGACCCGTGTCCTGGGGCTGGACATGGTTTGTGACAAGTACAGAAGAGGGACTACGGGCAGCTGAGGAGCTTCTTGTTGTATTTTGACTCAGGGTCCCACAGTCAGAGTAAGGGCTGTGCTGATGAGAACTATCAAGCATCCCCATTGCTACCTACCTATGGCCTGGGTATCTTGCCATCCAGACCCTCCCATTGTCCAATGGAAAGTGAACTACAGGGGACATCTTAAAGGCATACCCAGCCATCCTCTAGGACACTGGTAATAAAGCTGTGAGCACAATGTAATGGCACAGCCCCAAAGCCAGGGGTGTGGGGATGGAAAGCCACTGCCAGGGTAGGGTTAGACTCCGGCAGGCTGTGGAACTGGTCTTGTGTGAAAAAAAAAAAATCAGCTGTGTTTCCTGCAGCCATCTCAGAGCTTTGGGTAGAGGAAGGAAAGGAAACCTACCAGGAACTGTGAACAGGAAGTTCAGGAAAGGAGGTGCTTAAATTAGAAAATTCTTTGAGGGGGAAGCCTCCTTTTCTTTGCTGTATTTCCTCTTGGACCCTCCAAATCCCCACTCAAAGGCATCACATATCAAGGTCTTGTGACTCAGCATGGAGGGGCTTCTTGATATGCCTAATGACCAAATGATAAAAGAAAAGCCTGCAGCAGATCAATAAATGGTCCCAACTCACGCCTGACCCTGCTATGAGGTCCACTCCATACAAAAGGCTCAAGGACCTGGCAGAGGATGGGACTTGGAGGAAGTCTTGTAAAATGGCCCCCTCCCCCAACCATGTAGAAAAACAAGCCACCTATTGGCTCTAGGTCAGTCTAGGGTATAGCTAACCTACAAGAACTCAGGGGATTGATCCCACACTTAACTTGGCAAGAAGGAAGAAGGGTCACAAGAGAAATGTTTGCCTGGCAAAGATGTTTTATTGGGTATTGAGATATTCATTCATTCATTCATTCATTCATTCATTCATTCTCTCTCTCTCTCTCTCTCTCTCTCTCTCTCTCTGTCTAGGATGAAGGGAAGCGGCCCCTGGCCTCCACAGCTGACCACATGAGGGTGGTATCTAGCCTCTTACTTTCTGTGCTTCTCGCAGAGGTGTGGCTGGTGACCAGTTTTAACATCAGCTCCCATTCCCCGGAGGCTCAAGGAGAGTTGGGGTCTCAGGATCACCAGAATCATACTTGGGAGGAGGACACATGGACTGTCCCCAGTGATGAGGAGGAGGAAAACTGGCTGAGGGTCAGCCAGCAGCAGCTCTCCAATGACACTTCAAACTTTGGGTTCAGCCTGCTTCGAAAGATTTCCTTGAGGGATGACAGCAATGTGATCTTCTCACCATTTGGCCTGTCTGTGGTCATGGTAAACTTGATGCTGGGGGCCAAGGGAGAGACCAAGGTCCAGGTGGAAAATGGACTCAACCTACAAGCCCTGAGTCAGGCAGGACCCTTGATCCTCCCCTGCCTCTTCAAGAGGCTCAGACAGAACTTCTCCAGCAAGCAAGAGCTGGGCCTTACCCAGGGTAGCATTGCCTTTATTCACAAGGACTTTGATATTAAAGAGACCTACCTCAATCTATCCAAGAAGTATTTTGATACAGAGTGTGTGCATACAAATTTTCGAAATTCCTCTCAAGCCAGAGAGCTCATGAACTACTACATTAACAAAGAGACTCGGGGGAAAATTCCCAAGCTCTTTGATGAGATTAATCCTGAAGCAAAGTTGATTCTGGTGGACTACATCTTGTTCAAAGGTATTTTGATAGTCTTCTGTTGCTCCTAGGCCACGAGAATTGACCCTATTTCTCTAGCGTACAGTTGGTGTTAAAGGATGCTCTGAAATCATGGTTTATGCTTTGCAGGTTCAGTATCCATTGAGGAGCAACTTATGCTTTCTCTGAGGGCCCCACTCTTACCACCTGCAAGCTGGTGGTCCTCAGTTTCCACAGCTCCTCTGCCTCGTTCTCTTCTAATGTTTGGAAGAGGTCGCACAGGGCTATTGGATGGGCAGCTCACTATCAGTGAGGCTCAGGTTGCATCTCTGTTCCCCATTCTCTGATTTTGTGATCTGGGGCAAAATCTCTGACCTTGGGTTTACTGTTGTCATTATTATATTGTGTGGGTATGAGTGCATGTGTGTGTATGTGTGTGCATGTCTACGTATGTACATGTGAATGCAGGTACATTTAGAGGTCAGAGGTGTTGGATCCTCCTGGAGCTGGAGTTAGAGGCAGTTCGAGACACTCAACACGAGTGCTAGGAAACAAACTTGGGCTCTTATCTGCTAAGCCACCTCTCTAGTCTCCTGGTCTTGGATTTTTTTAATATAAAAATTGGGGCTCTTGCTTGCTCTAGTTATAAAGCTACAAGAGCTGACATATGCAAGGTGCTGCACACTGTGTTTGGCACTTATTATCCACCACAGGAAGGAATGGGTTGCATATTTGTTCTTCCTGGCAGTCCATGCAGCAGGCAGAGTAGGGCCACTGTTTTCTATCTTCAGGGGATGAAGGTGAAGGTTGGGCAAGCTAGGTTGATCAGGATCACACAATGAATGGCAGAGACCAAAGGCAAAGACAGATCCCGTGACTTCAGAGCCCCCAGTTTCTTCTAGCTCTAACAGGGCACAGGGTATGGTGTGGAAAAGTCTAGAGTTTAAAGCTGCACCAGAAGCCTCACAGTGGCCCAGGTAGAAAGACCATTTGCAGACACTCGAAAACAGGTGCTTAATATAGAGTCATGTAGCGGCCTCTCCTGCATCCAGGACCACATCAAGCAATGCTGAGCTGGAAATAACCCCCAAAACCTGTAAAGTATATGTTTGCATATGGTCATGCTGGGGCCATGTGGTAGCTAGGCATCGCTCACTCATCAAGCATTGGAAACCATCCACCAGGAACTAAGTTTTGGTTCTATTGTGGGTCATGGGTAGAGTTGAACTTTGGTCTTTGAGGAATTTGATGCCTGAGCTGTGACCTATGCAAAGCTGAAAGAGAATGACACTCCCAGTTGGGAATAAAGGGACAGGCCACACTCTCCTCTACATTCAAGCAAGACCAATGTGTTGTGTGGAGGCTTGTTTCTACAGGGGCTCTCTTCTGACTTGTTCAGGGACATGGCTGACTCCATTTGACCCCACCTTCACTGAGGCTGACACTTTCCATCTGGACAATTACAAGGCAGTCAAGGTGCCCATGATGTATCTGGAAGGTAACTTTGCCTCCACCTTTGATAAGAAGTTTCGTTGTCACATCCTCAAACTGCCCTACCAAGGAAATGCCACCATGCTAGTGGTCCTCATGGAGAAAACAGGTGACCATTTGGCTCTGGAGGACTACCTGACCATAGATCTTGTGGAGACATGGCTCCAGAATATGAAAACCAGGTATGATGCTTCCCTTGCCTCACAGACTTTGCCTGCCATCCTCATGAACACTCCCAATAGTTTTACCCTCGTGGCTTACTACCCATGATCCCCAGTGAGTGCCAAGGTCCTGTGGGCAGAAGCAGAATCTGTCCTGTTTTCCACTCTATCCTCAGCATCAATCCAGTTTAGGCCTTGCTTTATTATTCATTTAACAAGTCTCTGGGTCCACCAGAAAGCAAGGCCTGATGAATTTGATGACTAGATATAAAATGTGGTGCATAGAAAAAGAGAAAATGGAGATACGGATACAGAGAGGTTATCATTCAGTCAACAGTAGTTGTAGTTTTTTGCCTCAGCATCTCAAAGATGGGTATACCATTCATTAAGGATATAAAAGGAAGAGACAGATCTGGTAATGAATTCAGAGCTCAGTCCTAACATCTGGACTAGAACTGTCTCCCTGAGCTCCACATGAAGGAGGCCAGGCCAGGGCTAGGCCAGAGTCTGACTCTAGGAGTGTGAGTACATGGCCAGGGTTTGGTTCTGCGAGAGCAGGTAAGACTGAACATGGAAGGGACACTGTGTGGAGAGAAGAAATGGAAGGGCAGGAAGAGACTCCAGTGTTTGTGGGAAGTCAGTCCACCCACTGGAGCACAGGGCAGACAACTGCCTAACAACCACGCGCTGTGCCTTCTCGGTCTTGCCGCTCTAGAACCAGTGCAGAGATAGGCTCAACTGAAGGTCCTTGCTACAGGTTTCACTTCCGTGTTTCTGTCATTTTTTTTTTTACGTCCTTAAGCATTAGTGAAGGACTGAGACATAAACCTTGACAAATGTTTGCTGAGTGATTACATTCATAAATCAAAACTTAAGACATGTCACATCCTCAGATTTTCCAGCCTGTAGCCCATCCTAACTATGCAATAGGGAGAGAAGTGGGAAAGGGTACATTTATGAAATAGCTGCTGCATACCAGACATTGTTCTAGACACTATGCATACGTCAGTCATTCTTTTCAACAGCTCTGACATCACTATGTGAATTTTTAACTGCTCTTTACACAGCAAGAAAACTGAAAATTAAGATTAATTTTGTGTCATTGGTAACTTTCATGTTTGTTTTTAAAGTTCTGAACCACAAAACTGATCTTTCCAACTCTCATATTCTCTGATAACTCACAGTAGTAAAAATAAATAATCTCAGAGCTTTCCCACAGGATCAGCAGGGTTAATTGAAAACCCTCTTTGCTTTCCTTGTCTGCCCATTCTCCAAGTTCTCTGGAATACGGAGTTGATTGGGGTTGTTTTTTTTTTTAACTTTTTTAAATTTTTATTAATTACAGTTTATTCACTTTGTATCCCCCCTGTACCTCCCTCTCTCCTTCCCTCCCAATCCTACCCTCCCTTTTCCCCACCTGTCTCCCTCTCCCAGTCCACTGATAAGGGAGGTCCTCCTCCCCTTCCCTCTGATCCTAGTCTGTCAGGTCTCATCAGGAGTGGCTGCATTGTCTTCTTCTGTGGCTTGGCAAGGCTGCTTCCCACTCAGGGGAAGGTGATCAAAGAGCAGGCCAATCAGTTCCTGTCAGAGACAGTCCCTGTCCCCATTACTATGGAGCTCACTTGGACACTGAACTGCCATGGGCTACCTCTGTGCAGGGGTTTCAGGCCATCTCCATGAGTGGTCCTTGGCTAGAGTATCAGTTTCAGAGAAGACCCATGTGCCCAGACTTTTTGGATCTGTCACTGTCCTTGTGGAGCTCCTGTCCTCTCCAGGTCTTACTATCTCCCACTTCTTTCATAAGATTCCCTGCACTCTGCCCAAAGTTTGGCTATGAGTCTCAGCATCTGCCTCAATACCCTGCAGGGTAGAACCTTTAACAGGCCCTCTGTGGTAGGCTCCTGTCCTGTTCCTTGTTTTCTCTCTCCTCTGATGTCCGTCCTCTTTGCCTTTCTGAATGGGGATTGAGCATCTTAGCCAGAGTCCTCCTTCCTGATTAGCTTCCTTAGGTGTATATATTTTGGTATGTTTATCCTATATTATGTCTAATATCCACTTATGAGTGAGTATATACCCTGGGTGTCTTTCTGCTTCTGGGATACCACACTCAGGATGCTCTTTTCTAGTTCCCACCATTTGCCTTCAAATTTCATGATTTCCTTGTTTTTTATCGCTGAGTAATATTCCATTGTGTAGATGTACCACAATTCCTCAACTGAGGGACATCTGGGCTGTTTCCAGCTTCTGGCTATTACAAATAAAGCCTCTACAATCATGGTTGAGCAGATGTCCTTGTTGTATACTTGAGTGTCTTTTGGATATATGCCTAGGAGTGGTATAGCTGGATCCTGAGGAAGTGCTATTCCTAATTGTCTGAGAAAGTGCCAGATTGATTTCCAAAGTGGTTGTACAAGTTTACATTCCCACCAGCAGTGAAGGAGGGTTCCCCCTTGTCCCCTTTCTCCACATCCTCTCCAGCATGTGTTGTCACTTGAGTTATTCATCTTTGCCATTCTGATGGGTGTAAGGTGAAATCTCAGGGTCGTTTTGATTTGCATTTCCCTGATGACTAAGGACGTTGAACATTTCTTTAAGTGTTTCTCTGCCATTCAATATTCCTCTATTGAGAATTCTCTGTTTAGCTCTGTACCCCATTTTTTAATTGGATTACTTGATTTGTTGCTGTTTAACTTCTTGAGTTCTTTATATATACTGGATATTAGCCCTCTGTCAGATAAAGGGTTGGTGAAGATCCTTTCCCAATCTGTAGGAAGTAATTTTGTTTTGACGACAGTGGTTGGGGTTGTTTTTTAAACATAGGGAAACAGACATGGAGTCTGGCATTGTTTGCTAAGAAGGATTTTGGGTAGCGGGCTAAGAAACTAGCAAGAAAACGGGGTTGATGAAGTGGTGTTTCATAAGCCAGAAGTATTTTTTCTGAGATAGAACACTACCAAAGGGTCATATGAGCTATATACAGTCAAACAAAGGAAATAATTTTGGAGGAAGAAAAGACGTGTCCTTCTAAGCAGCCCCCAGCAACTTCACCATCTGTACTGCCCTTGTGCCACAGAAAAATGGAGGTCTTCTTTCCCAAGTTCAAGCTGAACCAGAGGTATGAGATGCATGAGCTACTCAAGCAGATGGGAATCAGAAGAATCTTCTCCACCTCGGCTGACCTCGGCCAACTCTCAGCTGTGGCAAGAAATCTTCAGGTGTCCAAGGCAAGTCAGGGACCAGGCTGAGGCCCAGTCCTCAGCATGTGATGCCACTGAAACCAACAAATACTTTGCAAACCATGTCACTGTGATGAAACGCAGAGAATTTGACTCCAGTTCTAGCAACTTCAGACAGCATCCAAGCCAGGAGTCCCAAGGACCTCAAGCCATGCTACTCAAACAGCTTTTTAATTATGTTCTCATTGGAAGAGGCCCACCCCTCTTCTCTTCCAAGGCTCAGGGAAACATCTGCCCTTCACGCAGACTGGCTTACAGCATGTCAGTACCCCTGTGAAATATCAAAAAGGCTCATGAAACTACACCGCCTTTAGTGTGCAGGAAATCCCCAGTCATCACCCAGCCCAAGCTCTCCTCCCTTGTGATGGACACTCTACCTCCTCCATAATTAGCCTCAGAGGACCCTCTTGCTCTGCCTCTCCCCATCCTTCCCCCTCTCTTTCCAATTCTTCAGACAGGGATCTCATCAGATCTGTGCACTAAAGTGAAATGGTTAGCATACCTGGCCTGAAATCATTGTGGCTCTCTGCTCTATCATCACAATCCAGAGGTTTGATTTGCATTTTTCCATACAATTGTTAATTCTGAGGGATTTCAAATGGTATCCCAGGAAGTAGGAGCCAGCAGGGTCACCTAAACCGGTGTACAGGCAACCCCGGTTCAGAAAAACACCACAGACCCTCAGGCTTGCCCCAGGAAATGCCCCAGAGTAATGCCTTGGCTCAAAGTGCCTTCAAGGGCCAAGAGTTCAGCTCAAGAATCAGCATCACAAAGTACATGTTCAATAAATACTAATTAGACGCCTGTATGTAGAGATTTAGCAGCCAGCTTCCCTGGTTCCAAGCCCAAGCTGCTGCGTCTCACACAGCCCATAGCTTCCTGGTATGGTTTTGATTTCTGAGTTAGTCTCTGGGGGGCACAAATCTCATGCACTTCTTAGCACAGATGGGCTGTAGCAACACTGAGCCCCAGGAACATGGCCGGGTGGGCAGAACTACTGTGGAAATTTCCTGTCAATTCCCTCTTCTCGTTGCCATACAAATGGTCTTGCACATCCTTTCTTCTTCTAGGTTTTACAACAGTCCGTGCTTGAGGTGGACGAAAGAGGAACTGAAGCAGTAGCGGGGACACTGTCAAAGATTGTCGCTTACTCCATGCCTCCTGTCATCAAAGTGAACCGGCCTTTTCACTTCATGATCTATGAGGAGATGTCTAGGATGCTCCTGTTCCTGGGCAGGGTGGTAAACCCAACAGTTCTATAAGTTGAGTGTGTGTAAGGCCCCCAGCACCACAGGTGCTCAGCCAGAGGTGTCTGGACCACAGGACACTGATGGTGGATGGTAAAGAATGTGTCCCCTGTGCCCAGCCAGCTTGTTATGGCTGTTCTCTGATTAACACAGACATTAAAATGACTCAGACCTTAAGGAGATGTCTGTGCAATCGGTCCAACATTTTCAACTTGCTTCTGAGAGCCTTTGCTGACTGAAGAATGTCTAAGGACTACCCGGGGAGGGTCTCTCTCTCTTTCTCTGCTGCTCACAGAGAGCAGTAGGGGGAAGCAGGTGTAGGTCAGAGCCTCTGAGGAGATTACAAGGTCATTCTCCTATAGGCACGCTTCTCCTTCCTTCTCTAGTACAAAGGGTTTAATTTTAGTTTATCCCAGAATTTCTCTGTCCTCTCTGCCTTTCTCTCTCTCTCCCTCCCCCCCCTCCCCTTTACTTTCTTCTTCCTTCCTCCCCACACTGGCAGGGGCCACAATGAAGCCCTGGCTGGCCTTGAACTCACAGAAATCCACCTGCCTCTGCTTTTTGAGTGTTAGAATTAAAGGTGTACAATGCCATGCTCAGCTTTTTGTGTGTGATGTAACATGTTTTTAATTAATCACAGGATTCTTTCTTGTCTATTAAGATTGGCATGAAATCACCATAGTCAATCCTGATCACAATGCCTGGCTCAATGACACCCAGTCAATCCTGTGATCCTCCAGTCACACGGGTTCATCATAGGAGCAACAGATTTTCCATTCAATGCTTCATGTTATAAGGAAGACAAACAGGGGCCAGAACAAGGGCCACATCCTGACTTCCATGAGTGACAGGGACTTTTTTCTCTGTGCACTCTTTTCTTCATAAGCGTTTATATGTGGACACACTAACAATGACCTTTTATAATTATATAATTGCTTTGGTATAGAGATGAATACAGTCTCAGTTATGTTCATCTTTTGCCAACAAAAATATATGCCTTGCTCACTGCTGATTAAGGAAGTATCTTTGTGTGCCATGATAGCACAAAGGCCCTTGACTATAGTGTCCACTGCACATGGTGAATTTGTCAAACCTTATATCTTAGTAGAAGGAAAACATTTGCCCAAGGCAAGTGGCCCACAGTGGGCTAATCCTTCCTTCTTATTCTAGTCCCAAGTCCCTATTATTCTATCTTCTCTTTCTAAAGGATCTATCAGGGACTGCTGATTTGTCCTTTGCCTCAGTCACCTGCTGTGGCTAAACAAAAGTAAGTGTGGACTTTGTCCCAATATAAAAGGAAATGATGATACCTCTAAAGCATTCTTGGGCAGTCATTTTCTATCTTATAGAAATAAGACAGCACGTTAGGAGTAAATCAGAGATTCTTAGAAGAGACCAACTAGTCTCGAAATGTCAGCTGTGCTGACTCAACTCTGAGTTGCGTTTGTATTAGCTAACTAATGTGTATATATATATATATTTAAAATTAATTTATTAATTAGTTACTTGATGACAAATCCAGAGTAACATGAGTAGGACGTAGTATCAAGAGGTGGTCTAAACCAGACATCCTCGCCTCTATCTCAACATTGAGTCACTCTTGTGGTCACTCCAGGGTTAACAGATGCTCATTTAGGACCAAACCAGTCTGGGGCCTAGGAAGAGAAACAGACAGAGGATGGCTCTAGCTGGCTTTCTTGGGTGTTTGTATTCAGTTATTCAGGAGTGTTTGTGGGAAAACATTAGAAAGAGAAATTTTATTTCTTATTTTTTGAAGATTTATTTTATTTTATGTATATGACTGTTTTTTTTTTTTGCATGTTCATTTGCATGCCAGAAGAGGGTATCAGATCCTACAGCACTACAGTTAGATGGCTGTGAGCTACCATATGGATGCTGGGAGTTGAACTCAGAACCAGGAAAAGAAATTTTAAGAGAGAGTTCTGGCACCTTTCTTATTTTTGAGAGATGAAATGCAGAAAAGGAAGCCTGTGGCTATATCACAGTGAAACAAGCACAGCCCAATGCAGTGAAAGGCAGGCCAGCACAGCTGCAGACGAAGCAGAGCTCTCCCTGACAATACAACTAGTTAGAAGGTCAAGTCTTCTGATAAAATGAACAGATGAGTAGGTCCATGGTCCTGCTTCACACTCATTTGCTTTTTAATCTTCCTGCATATCAGTCTCTGGGGTATAATTTTTACAAAGATTCAAAAAATTTTAAAGGTTTTAATGCTTGTGAAAAAAATACTTCCAAAAGTAATTTTGAATAACTGTTTTAATTGAAAATTTAATGCCTAAGCAATTGACTTCCAATTTTATAAGCAGTGGTGACTAGTCTCTGTCATATCACTTTCTTTTATCCCACATATATAACAGGAATATGAAAAGCTTATAACTACTAAGTGTATTATTTAACAAACAATCAAATCGAAACACCATTTATCTAGCGTAAACAGTCAATGCCGATGCTTTGAACCAGAGTACTGGAAAAACTGATGCAGCCTTGATGTCCCTTTATGGCACAATGGATTCTCCAGAGCACAACAGATTCGCTTCCACATTACTAATGCTAGTAGGAGATGGAACCTAGTCAAACTGAACTTCCTTATGCAGGGCAGTCACATTTCTCACGGCTCCTGGACCTTCACTTCTGACCTGACTGTCCCTGATGAAGGGTGTTGATTCCCTGAACAGTGCCCCCTAAGAGGCCATGGGGAAGAAAAGGGATGACAAAGAATGAAGAAGCAATAAGCAACTGTCCCTGAGTCATTTACAGTTGATACAATATGTTCTGGTTATTCATTATTTAAAGGTAAACTGCTTCTTCTTTATAGAGTAAGAACTATTGGAAAGTATTTCAAAATTTTCTCACAAGTGCAGGTATCTCATTAACCTCTGCTTTATTTTAAGTAAGCTCATTATCCATTTCACATTATAAAAAGTAACCACGCACACGTATGCATTCACAAATTAGATCATCTTTATCATACATCAACATATCTTTAAAAAACAAGTATTTTCTGATATCAATATAGGTATATGCTGATTGCATTTGAAATAGAGAAGCTAACAATAGCTTCATACATTCTATCTCAGGAACTGACATTTTAAAGTTAAGGACAATAAATGCTCCACAGGCAAATTTTGATGGAAGTATTAGCATTAGTACAAATGGGTGCTGTTGACATGGCGTGAGCATGATAGCTTGGAAGAACAGCTGATTCAAACTAGATTCATCATTTGAAATTAAGGACAGATACAATCTAAAATGTAAACAAAGCATTTATAAAAGAAATTCTAGGAATTAAGGAAATCATCAATCTATCATTTTTAAGGTATTTGTCGCTGAAGTTTTCATGAATCTTTGCAGATTTTCATTGCCGAATCTAGACTAGGGCAGTCCAGGTGCTGATACCGTCACAGAATCCCAGGACCCATAGGACCACAGGCAGCTGCTTGGTTTGACTTTTCTGCTTGGCTTAGAGAGCTCTGAGGAAATACAGTGTCTTCCTTACCTCCTGTGTCCTGGCCCAAGTTGTTACCCACGCAGTTGGCTCATTTTGGGGGGTTGTAGACTTTCTAAATGCTACAACTTAGCATAACAAAAGCCAGTCTCTCACACAGAGACAAGCGTGTCTCTGTCATGTCTCTGAGGTCCACAGTCCCAGTACATGCCTCAGGTTGGAGCTGACCACACTGCACTGAACACTGGCATTCAGAGCCCGTATTAAAACACATGTCATACCTCCTAGGGAATCTAACTCCAAATACGGTAAGTTTCACATCAGCTGCATGATGTTCCTTTCTTCCTTCCATACTCTCAAAGCCTGGCCGTCACTGTAGCTTTTTCCACCATCGCAGTCTCCACTGACTGCTTGCTTCATCACCAAGCATTTGACCTAAGGATTAGATTTTCGGGATTTTCTGATACAAAAAGGAAATGAAGAGGAAGGAGGGAAGCAAAGAAAGAAAAGGAAAAAGAGACCAAAAAGAAAGCATAAAACATGCTACTCTGAGAATACAATATGAGAATTCTGATAAAGAGAAAATTAATTACACATTACAGATTACCCAGAATTACTTGTAACTATCAAAGATCATCTTGTGCACACCTAACAGCATCCCCTTTAACTTACACACTTTTCTTACATTTTCAATTTTGTATAGCCATGAAGGAAATTACACAGCCCTAGAAGACAAAAGCAAAACTGCACGCCTGTACTTCCTTCATGACACAATGCTGGTTAACAGCAGAGGTGGTGTTTGGTAAGGCAGGTGAATATACTGCACAGGCGGGAAAGGTGGCTTAGTGGTTAAGAACAGTGGCTGCTCTTCCAAAGGACCCAGGTTCAATTCCCAACACCCACCTGGCAGCTTACAACTGTCTATAACTCCAGATTCAGGGGATGTGGCACTCATACAGACATATATACAAATTTAAAAAAAAAAGTAAAAAAACTGAGGTAACACCTTCTGCAATCACTCCATTGACTTATTTTCAGCAAAGAGGACTTTTTTTCTTTCCAATTTGAATATGACATTTTCTAAATTATGGATAATACTTCTGAAAAAAAAAAAGAGCAGTGTGGATAGCAACCACCCATCCAACTAATGGGCATGTGAGAGCCCAGTGTGGGAACGGCCAGGTGCTGTGCACCAGGCACGGGTGATGGAGCACTTGTGAATGCGGCTAGCAAGCCTTCCCTCAGGTGACTTGAAAAAGTGCAAACTCTGAGATCTATTGATCTTTATTCTAGATTCATTTGGTAATTATAAGTTATACAAGAAAAAAGGAAATTAAAAAATTCAGTCTGCAAAAAGGAAAGATGTGCTCAGCAATGTAAGAACTCATAAAGTAACAGAAACAAAGGAACACTGCCACAAAATATTGGTTCAGCGGTCTTTAAAAAACAAAACTAGAACTTCTGCTCGGATGTGGCCCGTGGTAGCTCAGTAACCAAGTAGTTTTCCAAAGTAAGGGGAACACGGACTATTTCTAACAGGATCTCAAGGGCAGGCTGTTTGACCCCCCCACCCCCAGGGGAGGAGCAGTCTGTTAGGCCACAGAGGAGGACTTTGCAGCCAGCCCTGAAGATATCTGATAAAACAGGGTCAAATGAAAGGGGAGGAGGTCCTCCCCTATCAGTGGACTTGGAAAGGGGCAGGGAGGAGACCAGGGAGGGAGTGTGGGGTTGGGGAGGGAATGAGGGAGCGGGATACAGCTGGGACACAGAGTTAACAAAATGTAACTAAAAAGAAAAATAAAATTAAAAACAAAACAAAACAAAACAAAACTAGTTTTGATGATGCTCCCATGTTCAGGGCAGCAAAAGAAGAGGGTCTATTGTGATAGAGAAAGATCTCAGGATATGGAACTGAGAGGCGTCTTAGATGAGCTATAAATCAGACCTGCTGTGTGACAGATGAGCACAGTCCCAAGGGCCAGGCTCACCAATACACCGTGGCCTTGCTCATGTTGAATTTGCCTACATGGCTCCACCTGAAAGTGCTGCAGACCACCAAACCCTGCCACCTCTGCTTCCATGGCTCCTAAACAGCACTAAGTCTTTCTGTAGAAAGAATACTCTTCAAGTTGG